GCTCCACCAAAATGTCATACTGCATTTCTCAGCAGTCTTCATTGGCCAATAATTCAATTATAAACACCATTCATTACTCTCATGTAGACCACAAAGCCTTTTGCATTGGCTCAAGCTATCTCCCTGGTGCAAACAGAGCAGTTTGTAAAAGGCCAAACCACAGGGTGGGGTATTAGGAATGTGAAGCATCTTAGAAAATGTAGCTGTATTACATGGAAATCTGCCTTCCAGCAAGCTGTTTATCTCCAGCGGCTCAGGACAGATAAAGGCCAGTGCTTGGCACCTGGGAGGAGGCATTCTCTTTCTCAACTTCCTCTTTGTGACTTCATAATTTCTTGTCTTCAGTTCATTCTTTCTCCAGTTTTTCCCTTTCTCCCATGAGGCCATTCTATTTTGCCTTCTTTGTCTTCGTGAATGTTAGGCCTGCACTTTTCGAGGCCTAGAAACCTTTTGTTTTTATTTGTTGTATTTTGTAACCTACAATGTTGTAAAGAGGATTGGAAGAAATCAGGCAGGAAGATACATGAATTATTTACTAACAGACAGCATCAGAAGAAACAAGTAGATGAAAAGCACTTATCTGTATGAGCACAAGCAATTTTTGTCACTGTAAGTGAGACTTCCTAAATCTTAATTAAGTGGTGTCCTCTAGTATTTTTATTATTTTTTATTTTTTTTTCAGCTTTAATTGAGCTGATTGGTACATTTTAGGGATACAGTAGAGTTACATTCGTTGTTGGGATCTTGTACCTCTACAGGACAAGTCTGGATTCTCATTTTTTCCCCTTGCCCCTGCCCTCCCTTCAGTCAGCATTTATTCATCATTATGTTACTTTCCTGATATACATGGAAAATTGAAATTGCTCAGGTTACTCCTAATTGTTATGTGATGTATTTGGGGCACTAAAACAAAGGTATCACCTGCCACAACTCTAAGGCTATCTAGTTCAAAAATATTGACAGTCTTAATTTCTTGTTACTCCCTGATGCCTCGATATTTCTAAATGATTAGAAATATATTGTTTGTTTGCGGTTCTTTTGTTTTGGTTATTTTTGTTTTTTGTCTCTCGAGACAAAGTCTCACCATGTAATTCATGCTGGCCTTGAACTCAGTAAGCATGTAGCCCAGGCTGTCCTCTAACTCACAGCAATCTTCCTGCCGCAGCCTCCCAAGTGCTGAGATTACAAGCATGCACCATCATGCCCGGCTTCAGTTAATTCTCTTAAATTTTTACACATACCCAGTAGTATCTTACAGTACATGAAAGCAATATTAAAGCTTCCCCAAAGCATTTCTGATTTGACTTAAATAATTATATCATAGTTTGTTTTAACTGGAATAATGGCCTCCTGCAAGTTTTATGGGCTGTTACATATACTACAGAATTTGTAAGAAGAAAAGCTAATCTTTAAAATATTTAGCATAGTGTTATTTACGAACCACTGAAACTGACAACCTAAAAAGACTGATGAAATCTTTTAAGGTCAACAGTTTTTACTAGAATCATATTTTCAAAATTTTTATTAGTGCGTGTGTGCAGGACATGATTATGTTCATCATGGGAAGCTGATACATGTATCAACTAATGTGTGACTCATAACGATGACTCATAATAATTTTTCTAATAAAATATATATTGGTGACGGCCTACTCAGTAGAACATTCTTTATTAATAGGAACTCTTTTTTATTAGTGCATGTGGGTGCATGTGCATAATATAACTTCATTTTTTGATACCCTTTCCTCCAAACTTCCTCCCTCCTCCTCCAAATCCCCATTCCTGATTTTCATTCTTGTTGATATTATTAATTTTAGCTCATGTTTATGACATATAATGTTTATACCCATTGAGTTTATTGGGTTCCTGTAGATAGCACATCTTTGTCCCACTTATTGCCCTTTCCTCTTCCCTTCTCCCTTTATCCTTGGTCTCCTAGACCCCTTCCCATGTGCAAAAGATCTGTTGCCTTGTCTCCTATCCATACTTTATTATGTTGCTTGTTTATATCTTACCTTATTCAAATGAGAGACACTATGTGGTATATAAGTTTGTGTGTCTGATTTTTTTCACTTATGATTATATTTTCCAGGTGCATCCATTTTCCTACAAATGTCTCAAATTTGTCCTCCTTTTTAGGCAAGTAGTATTCCATTATATATAGATATTACATTTTGTTTATCCAATAGTCTGTTCACTGGTACACAGAGTGCTTCCCGACTTAGCTATTACAAACTGCACTGCTATAAACATTGATATGCATGTACTGCTGTAGTATGATGTCTTTACCTCTTTGGAAGGATACATAGAAGGATAGCTGGGTGATATGGAATTTCTAATTTTATTGAGAAATCTCCATACTGATTCCCACAATGGTTGTAAAAGTTTACATTGCCACTAACAATGTAAGAGGGTTCCTTTCTCCCAGAACTTCACTAGCATTTGTTATTTTTTTATTTCTTGATGATTGTTTTGTTTTTTGTTTTTTTATTTTTTTGGTATAAGATGGAATCTTAGTGTTGTTTTAACTTGTATTTGTTTAATGATCCCTTTGCTGTACAGAAGGTTTTTAATTTGATATGCTCATATCTATTGATCTTTGCTGGGTTTTTTTGTTTGTTTGTTTGTTTGTTTGGGGGTGGTACCAGGGGTTGAACTTGGGATCTTGCACTTGCAAGGCAGGGAGCAAAACCACTGAGTCAAAGCTCCTGCCCTTTGCTGTTATTTCTTTTGTAATTGTTCGGTTTAGGAAATACTTTCCTACATCTATGACTTCAAGGATTTTACCTATTTTGTCTTCTAGTAGATTCAATGCTTCTGCCTTAAAGTTTAGATCTCTGATTCATTTTTATTTTAGTTTAGCATATGGTGAGACATACAGTTCCAACTTCAGTCTTCTGTGAACAGATAACCAGTTTTCCCAGCACCACTTAGTGAATAGGCTCTTTGCTCCTATGTTTTCGGCCCCTTTGTCAAAGATCAAATAGCTGAATGTGTGTGGGGATGCTTCTGTGTCTTCTATTCTGTTCCATTGATTCACATGTCTGTTTTTGTTTCTGTATTGAGTTTTTCTACGATTAAAATTATTTGGTAGTGTTCTTTTAAATAATCATCATTTCCTTTGTATGATAAGCAGTCACAAGTTCATTTAATTTACCTTCTGTTCATCCAGCATTGTCTAAGAATTGTTATCCCTCTATCACTTAATGATTCACATATCTTCTAGAAAAAAATATCCTGGATTAAGTGACAGTATGTCTCATAGCATTATATGCTTAGAAGGACAACAGAATGAGGCATGTTGAAAATGCTATACTAGGACAGTTAAAATCTAGTTTTAGGCACTACTAAGCCTAGTAAACTTGGCCTTGGCCTCAGTTTTTACTTTTTTTTTTTTTTTTTTTTTT